GAAAATTATATTGAAATAGACATCAGCAGTTAAATATACATAATAAAAAAGCTTTGCTAGTTACCATCCAGTTGATTTATTATTTTTTAGCATAAAAATTTAAAATATATTGATAAATTTCAGAGCCCGAGAAATAAATTAATTGCAATGAAATATTTTTAAAATTCTACGTCAAATGTGCGATAATAAATTAAATTGTACTTCTCTGTAATACTTATACTTGAAAGAAATCTTACGATTTTTTAGTTTTTAAATGTCAGCAAATAATTACAAAAATTATTAGTCTGTGGTAAATAGTTTTGTAAATAAATTTTGATGAGTTGTTTCGGATTCACCTCCGAATAAGAAAAAAGTATTTAAGCCTCTCGCCACCCAAAAAAAGTGAATTTTCGTCAGAATCATCGAAATTAAGATAAATGCAGGGAAAGATAGCCCGTCTTCAGATCTTTCATAAACGACAAAAAAATTTTTATTCGATGCCTCTTTTTTTCCAAAAAATTTTAAAGATTTCTGCCGACCTTTATTCAAAAAATCAGCTATTTTAAAAAAAAACAAAAACTCTTTCGTTTTTTCTTCGTTTATAGTTTCTCGAGCGCATTTCCCCAATCTCTCTGTTGATACTCATTCAATGTATTTATATTTTTTTGTTTGTTTGAAAGAGCGTGTCAAGACGCAGCGCAGTACATAGCGTCTGTTTTTAATTATATATGTAGACATTTATGTAACTCGACACCCATTCTTTAAAGGTTTTTTGAGTCATTGAACTTTCGATCTCTTTTTTTCCCTAAAAAAGTAAGTGTTTAAAAAAAGGCTCTGTACTTCTCTGCATCCTGATATGCTCTTTCAAACAAAAAAGAACTAGGTGCATCACATGGACTTGGACTGAGAGTTTGGGAAACCGATTTCGCTATTTTTGACCCTTGTTTGGCTGGTATTTTCACCAAACATCATGATATCGGGCTGAAAATTTTACCATAGCTTTTCCACAACACCCCAACATATCCTGAAAATTTCATGTCCTTTGGACGTTCCTGGACTGAGATCGATTCTAGGGTGTGGAGGCCTTAATATAATTTGAAAACAAAGTTTCAATGGTTATTATATTTAAGTACTGATAAATAGAGAATAAAGAATTGGTTAATTAAATTTTTTCTAATTGATAAAAGTTTCAAGTAGATAAAAAGATTAGTACAGAGACGCTTCCAAAAGCACTCGCTATCGTCACTTTCAGTATTTAAAAAACTGAAAAAGACAAAAAATAGATTGTATACAATGCAATGGTTTTTATCAGTGTGTTTGTTCATTTTTTTCGATGTTCTATAAAGAAAAACTAAAAGTAAAAGAATTATTGTCATGAGAAAAATCAAATTTCTTTAACATACATAGATATGTTTATATACTTACACAAATCGGAAAGTCTTCAATCTCGTGATAACATGTTTCTAACGAAAGATTGCATTATCATATATCAAATGAAAATTCATTAGTTTATTCAATAATTGATAGTCAGTTCTGTCTAAATTTTGCATGCAAATAAAAGAGTCATCAAAATATAGTTTACAATTGTAAAACCAAGATCAATAATTCTAATGCTCTATTGAAGGACACAATTATATTCAAAAAGTTATACAATATAAATCTTCCGGTTTTAAAATTCAACATGTCTATTTATTCAATCATAATGTTCTCATATCGAGATAGTACATTAATGTTAAAATACATAATATCCTTCCCAACCACTATCAACTTGGGTTATTTGAACTCTACGAAATGCTTAAGTTTTGCTAGTGGTGAATATAGGTGATAACTATTATTGTTATCGTGCTTGTATACTGGGTACCCTTTTATTTTTGAAATGTGTCAATGACAGCAGATAGCTCAACCAACTTTCAATAGAGACTTGAATAGCTCTTGAAATGATCTATTGATTACAATAGGAGCTAAAATTTTCAAAAAAATTTGAAAATGCGCCAATGAATTGTTTCACTGAAATCTCAAGTTCTAGAGAAATTTTGGGGAAATTTTTTGAAATACAGTCATCTAAAAGAATAAAAATTTCTGGGCGAAATAAAGAGTCGTCCAGCTTTTCATGATGTTTTCTTGCAAAACGAGTTTTTGATAAGCGATGCAACTTTTCAAAAAAAAAAACATAATCAAGATTTGTGTAACTCCTTATTTTGCTTAGAGGTTTTTACACTATATTTCAAAACATTTTTTCAAACTTCTCTAGAACTTAAAATTTCGGTGGAACAGTTTGTTGGCGAATCTTCTTCACAAAGTTTCTTTGAAAATTTTAGCGTTCTATAGAGTATTCTAAGAGCTATCCATTCTCCTTGAAAAATTTCAAAAATAAAAGAGTATCTTTAATTTTGGGATATCCTGTAGATGAAAATGAGTAAAACCCCTTTTCACACTTCTCATGAAAACAAGAGTAACTATTTGACTAATAAATCCATCATTTAATGAAAGATAATCAGCACATCTCCACAAAATATGCAAGCTTCTATTGAGTACAAAACAGTGCTTACGAGAGAAGTGTTATGAATCAAGAGGAGACCCACCAGAGTAGGCCCATTTTCTTGTTTGCAAAACAGTTAACGAATTTTCTCCCCATCACTCGCCTATTCTCTGTTACAAAATCATTTGTTCTTAGTACATGAATGAGATTTAGAAGTGAACAGAATTCAACTTTAAATCTCCTATCGCAGATTGCTCTGTGATAATTTTTATTTTATGCTGTAAACTTTTTTTCAGAAAAGAATATAAATTTGACTTAAGGAAAAGTTTTCGGTCTCGTTGTAAGTCTATGAAAAATACATAAAAGTATATAGTCAGGTCCAGAATTTTCTCTGATAAAAATTCAAATAGAATTGAAACACAGCAAGATTGTTTAGAGTCTCAGAATTCCAAATACTGGTCGCTCGTAGTAACTAACTAACTAAGTCGTTTATTCAATATTCGAAAAGAATTTGTTTCTATTGTAGAGAATTTCTTGTATCACATTCAGAGCATTGGTACAAAGACGGACTAACTTTAAAAAAACATCATCAGTATAGTGGTATGTAATTCGAAAACTTTAAAATTTTTCAAATATTAAATATGTTCGAATAGAGAATAGATCTTTTTTTTCTTTATTATTATTAATTTTATCAATCTTTATAGGTTATTATGGATGAGCAAAATATATCGGGTGCGCTGTTAAATAATAATCGACAATGTTTAGTTCGTTCAGGTGATCAACCAGAATTAATAACAGTTGCTGTGACCCCACAAGATTATTTTGATGATGCTGACGAAACAACTTTACAGTAATGACATAAATTATTTTTTTGTTAGTCGGAATACATGAATAAATTTTTTTAGAAGAAACAATAACGTGCTGATGCAACAACAAAGAGCAGTTGTTGGTAGTTTTGTCATACTTACCATAATAGTGGTAACCGTTGGTGTTCTAATAGTGTGCTTGACTTCACCAAACCACCAAAGTATGTTTTCATTACTATATTTTCTCTATTTCCAAGTCACTGAAACCAAAAGCTAAACATCGACTAAATTTGGTGACCGCGCTGTTTTCTAACTGTTTTATACACGAAAATCAATTCTTGTTACCAGTAGCTTCGGGTCAATAGTACGAACAGCTTTTTAAAATATACTTGGGGCATGCCAAAAGTAGTGGCAATGACACTTTAATACCGTATAGTAAGTTTGAAGAAATTTTCTTTTTTTATGTGGTGATAGAGAAAACGATGCTCTATTTTTCTGTACTATTTGATCACTCTTCAACTAATATCATAATAACAAAAATTTCCATAAGAACTGTTTTTGTGTAAAACTTTACTAGCGGATGAGACAGATTAAATGTTTCAATCGTTTAATACATTGTATTAAAAAACAAAATATGCCATAAGATGCAACATGAAAAGCTATATAAATTACACAGTACTGCTTATTTTATAGTTGCATTTTTTGTTTTCAAAATAGACAAAATTTTGAGCGACCAATTTTCAACCGTGCGAAAGCAATATATTTTTGGTACAAAATGAATTCCTTTTTTTTTCATTTCATCGTTTTATCATCTAATATCTGTTATTTAAAAAAACGAAATACATCACAAGATGCAGCGTACAAAGCTCTACAATCTCCAAAATAAAGGTCAGTTTAATTGTGTACTTCTTGCTTTCAAAGCAAACGCAAAATTCTGTGCGACCATGTTTGCTGCTCCGAAAAAATCATTTCTTTTTTCTTATTCCATATATGAAATGACCTGTTCTTTATAAATTGTAGAGCTTTTCACGCTGTCTCTTATGGTATATTTTGTTTTTTAATACAACGCATCAAGCGATTGAAAATTAAAATGTGAAACATAGCCATTAATCTACCTCACCCGCTAGTGAAGTTTTACATAAAAACAGTTCTTATGGAAATTTTTGTTATTATGATATTAGTTGAAGAGTGATCAAAATAACACAGAAAAATAGAGCATCGTTTTCTCTATCACCACATAAAGAAAGAGAATTTCTTCAAGCTTACTATACGATATTAAAGTATCATTGCCACTACTTTTGGAATGCCCTAAGTATTTTACAGGTCGGTAGCTAGGTGAGTTTTTTAGAGTAGACATTGCTGTATCAAACACCATATTTGAAATTCTATCCTAACTTAAAATGATCAATATAGAAACATTAGCCTTTTTGTCAATTATCTGAAAATCAAAAATAAGTAACTAGATACTATTATTGAATTGATATTATTTATTAAAGAAATAAACCATTGTTCGGTATGAAGTTTTCAAAACTTCTACTATATTCAATCAGATTTGGGTCACTTATGATCTGTATGAGTAGTGAATGACAGACAAAAGTTAATTGATTTCCGAGAAAAAAAAATTGATCATGCATTGTCTTGTAACTGTATTCTAAGCTGAAGCTTACTGATCTTCTTCGATGTGTTCCAGTTCTATATAACTAAGAATGAAAACCATTTGGCCAAGAATTTTTCGTAATTCTTTTTTTTTAGGAACCGTAAAAATATCTCTGCTATAATTTCATCGAAGCTCTTCTGTATAAAACAGCGTGTCTATAATTTGTAACTGTGATTATCAGAGAGTAGATGAGCAATGCTCTATGTTTCTGCCACTCTTCGAACGTACCATCCGATTAATGTCCTCTAAAAGTCATGAGCATTCTCAACTATTCTTATTTTCATTATATATGTATGGTACTCAATTTCTAAAGAAAAGATTTAAAGATATCGGTATTATGTAGTTAGTTTCGTTCAATGAAAGATAAACATTTATCTGTTCAAATTCATTGAATGATAGAACCATGAAATGTTCCATCGGAAAGCAATAGACTATACATATGTTCTTGCAGTTTCAAAGCGTCATATGTTCTAAATCATATTCGATTTGCTTCATTTCTTGTATACATTTGTCAATCCCAAAACAATTTTTTATATCTAAATGAGTTCACTAATATTTTCTTGTACTTTTACTTTATTTCTGCTAGAATATACCAATACATAAAAACTATTGTCTAATCTTAGATTTATTTTAACCATGCTCCTTTTTTAGATAAACCATGCTCATTAGTCTTTACACCAGTAGTTGAAAATTCAATTGGATATTACTCGTATCCACTTGCAGTATCTGTTGGTGATTTTAACAATGATACATGGCTGGATATTGTTGTAGTAAACCATGGCATGGACAATGTCGGTATATTCCTCAATTATGAAAATGGCACCTTTGCTAATCAGAAGACCTATTCAACTGGCTTCCGTTCACATCCTGTTTCGGTTGCAGTTGGCCACGTCAATAATGACTATCGACTTGATATTATTGTTGGAAATTTCGACACTAATAGTATAAGTATACTTTTTGGATATGGTGATGGAACGTTTGCAAACCAATCTGCATTTCCAGTTGGTGCTTCTCGTCCGAAATCGATTGCTGTTGGCGATTTTAATAACGATGGTCATCTAGATATTGCTGTCGCCAATTATGGCACTAACAATGTAGGTATACTATTAGGATATGGTGATGGTTCGTTCGAATTTCCAGTTACCTACTCCATAGGTGGCTCTATTCCATATTCAATTGCTGTTGGTGACTTCAATAATGATCATCAATTAGATATTGCAGTCACCAACTATGATACTCATGGAATCAGCATACTTCTCGGATATATAAATGGAACTTTTGCTTCAGTCATGACTTTTTCAACTGGTTTAGGTTCTTATCCGTATGGAATTGTTATTGGTGATTTTAACAATGATAATCAAATGGATATTGTTGTTGCTAATTCAGGTACTGATAATGTTGGCATATTTCTTGGATATGGAAATGGGAGCTTTCAAAAGCAAGAAACATATTTCGTTAGTACCAGCTCGAGACCATCTTATGTAGCTATAGGGGACTTCAACAATGACCATCAACTAGATATTGCCGTCTCTAATACGGGTATTTACAATATAAGCATATATATTGGATATGGAAATGGGTCTTTTGCAACAAAGATAACACATTCAATTAACTCCAAGTCAAATCCACTTGGAATCGCTATTGGTGACTTCGATAAGGATAATCAATCGGATATTGTTGTAGCGAATGCCGAAACAAATAGTCTACTTTTACTTACTGACTATGCGACAAAACCATCCAAAACTTCAAATACATATTCTACCGGAGTAGGTGCTGACTCACTTTATATTGTTACCGCTGACTTTAACAATGATAATTATTTGGATCTTGCTGTTGCCAATGGCGGAAATAATAATGTCGGTATATTTCTTGGAAATGGTAATGGAAGTTTTGAAAGTCAAATAGTATATCCAACTGGAGATGACTCAAAACCAATTATACTTGCGATTGCCGACATCAACAATGATAACCAGTTAGATATTGTTGTCGCTAATTTTCACAGTGATAGTTTTGGTTTGCTACTTGGCTATGGCAATGGAACGTTTACAAACATTCGCTTGTATTTTCTCGGTGTAGCTGCAAGTCCAATTTTCGTTGCTGTTGGTGATTTTAATAAAGACAATCAATTAGATATTGTTTTAGCTAACTATGGTCCAAACACTATAAGCATAGTTCTTGGATATGCAAATGACAGTTTTGGAGCTGTAACGACTTTCACAGCTAGAGATGTTTCTCGTCCGTATTGTATCGCCGTGGGAGATGTTAACAATGACAGTAATCTAGATCTTGCTATTGCGAATGCTGGCACAGATAGTATAAGTATTTTTCTTGGATATGGTAACGGAACTTTTGTAGCTTCAGTAACTTATTCAACCGAATATACTTCATTCCCGCAGTATGTTTGGATGGGTGATCTTAACGGTGATAATCTACTCGACATCGTCGTCACCAATACCTATGCAAGCAATTTAGGAGTTTTTCTCGGTTATGGAAATGGTTCTTTCGCAAAACAAATAACTTATGAAACTGGTCCAGCATCGGGTCCATGTGCTCTCGCTCTTGGTGATTTGAATAGTGATGGACATCTCGATATTGCCGTTGCCAATTTTTACGTGAACAGTGTGGGTGTATTTCTTGGATATGGAAATGGGACCTTTGCAAGTCAAATATCATTTCCTACTGGCGATAGTTCTCGTCCGACTTCAGTTACTATTGCTGATGTCAACAATGATCATCGTCTAGATATCGTTTCACTGAACGGTGGCACAAATAATATTGCTATACTACTTGGACATTCGAATACAAAAAATACATATCAAACAATATACACAACTCGGTCTAGCTTCCAAAATGGCTCGATCACTACTGGGAATTTTCAAGATAACTATTTGGCAAATTCTTCTGTTACCAGTGAGAAAACGAACGACATCTTTACATTACTATTAGGAGATTATTATTCTGATTTTCAAACAGAAACAATATATTCAACGGGCTCTGGTACACATCCATTCTCAATTGCTGTCGGTGATTTGAACAATGACACGCATTTAGATATGGTTGTCATTAATTCAGGAAAGGGAAGTATTGAAATACTTTTGGGATTTAGTAATGGATCTTTTAAAAACGAAATAAACTATTCGATTGGTCTTGATTCACGACCACTTGATGTGATTCTCATTGACTTTAATAATGACAATCGTCTGGATATGTTTGTTAGCGACTCTATTGGTAACAATATAAACATATTTGTGGGATTAGGAAACGGAACTTTCGCAGTTGAAGCAGCCATTTGGACTGGCACTGAATCTCAGCCGAACTCATTGGCAAGTGGCGACTTCAATAACGATAACCTATTAGATGTTGTTGTTACCAATCAAGGGACAGATAGTATAGGTCTCCTGCTGGGATTCAAGTATTCATCTTTTGAAAATAAAGCAATTTATTCTACGGGTTATCTTTCGTCTCCATATAGTGCCGCAATTGGTGATGTGAACAATGACAATCGACTTGATATTGTTGTCGGCAATTATGCCACCAGCAATTTTGCCGTCTTTCTTGGAAACAGTGATGGAACTTTTGTATTGCAAACCCCTCAGATACATATAACTGGATCACATTCCTGGGGAGTTATTCTTGGTGATTTTAACAATGACAATTATCTAGATATGGCAACTGTTAACTGGGGTATAAATAATATAGCTGTGCTTCTTGGATATGGTAACGGGACATTTGCAGAACCGTTATTTTACTCAACTGGATTCGCTTCACGTCCAGCAGCTATCAGCTCCGGTGACTTTAATAATGACAATTATTTGGATATTGTCGTCACTAACTATGCATTGAACACAGCTGGCATATTTCTTGGTTACGGGAATGGAACATTCGATAGCGTTAAGACATATTCTACAGGGAAGCTTTCTGGTCCAAGTTCAGTAACCATCTATGATCTGAACAACGACAGTTACATGGATATTCTTACAGCTAATATTATCTCTGATGGTATAGGCATACTTTTTGGATATGGAGATGGAAGATTCAAAGATATACAAATTTATGCAAGTGGCATTGGCACCAGTCCGTATTATGCTGCAGCTGCAGATTTCAACAATGACACTATACTAGATATTGCTGTTGCGTTCTACGGTACCGGCGACATAGGTATACTTCTTGGGTATGATAACGGTAATTTTTCACCGATAATGACTTGTAAAACTGGTTCTAACGCAGGTGCACAACATCTTAACTTTGGTGATTTTAATAATGACAATTATCTTGATATTGCTATCGCCAACAGCGTTACTGGTGATGTAGGCATTCTTTTTGGATATGGTAATGGATACTTTATGAGTACTACACTATATGTGAATGATGCTAGTCTTGGTCCATACTGGATTCTTGTTGGCCATTTTAACTCTGATATTAAACTGGATCTAGCCTTTATCGATGCGACTGAAAATAATTTATGGATATTACTGCAAACTGGTGAAAAGCATTTTGGTAGTCAAAAGATTTTGCTAAGTTATGAAGGATCTAATCCGTCTTCCGCTGCTGTTGGCGATTTCAACAACGACAAATGTTTGGATATTGTGGTTGCTAATTATGGTACTGACAATATAGGTATACTCATAGGACAAGGTAATGGAACTTTTGAAAATATGATAACCTATTCAACAGGGAATGGATCTCGGCCGTTGGCAATAGCGTTAGGTGATATCAACAATGATTCTTTATTAGATATTGTGGTGGCCAATTCTGGGACTGACAATATTGGTATTTTTTTCGGAAATTACAATGGAAGTTTTGCAGCATTAATAACATATTCAACTGAAAAAGGTTCACGTCCAGTATCAGTTGCCATAGGTGATTTGAACAGCGATCAAGTGTTGGATATCGTAGTTGCAAATTTTGGCAGTAACAATGTTGGTGTATTTGAAGGATATGGGAATGGAACTTTGAAAGACCAAACAACACATTCAGTAGGATATGGTGGTCATCCGAATAAGGTCACTTTTGGAAATTTTACTAATAATGATTGGATGGATATTGCTGTTGTAAACTATGATACGGATACTGTATTACTTCTTTCAAAGATTTGTTAACTTTATGATCTTTAATTTGTTTGACTTTCTAATATTTCTAATATTCTTCTATATTCCCTATTCAGAAAAAAAAACTTAATACAGACCTTATCGAAATCAAGCGCTAAAAGCATTGAGACAACCACTTTGAACAGCATTCTGTCTATGCTGATTACTGCTTTCGTATTCTTAAAGATACAACAAGAGCCACTTCCATACCATTTGTTTTGCAATCATTTTCATTGATTAATGAAAAACACCTGACAATTTTCGGAGGTCGAAACTTCATATAAACCAGATCCATTAACTTAATTTGTTCTACAAATATCGCACAAGTTTTCAGTGTCAAATCTACAATATGTCCTAGTTACTGAAAGACAACTTTAACTATTAACATACAA